ATATATATAATGCTAAGTAAATGTATGTGCTGTTGAACTGAATCCTAACAATTACAGGCCATGTTTCACCAGCATCGCTTTTCACGTCTTTAAAAGAATTGAAACTGAATGATAAGTTCCAGTAGGTCTGCTTTTAAAAAACATTGTAAAATACATAAAATAAAACCTGCTGTCTTATATCAGTCTCAGTGCTCCCTCTGCTGGCTGATGTACCAACTTTGGATTTTGTACTGTCCCCCATCTTTGTCTGGTCTGTTACATCAGCACTGAAGCCCCTGTCACACTATAATGTTTTAGACAACTATTTTACTSCTATTGGCTTTATACTGGATCTAATTCTTAGCATCACTGTATGTGTATGTCCAAAAGAGGCTTCATGTAGATTTTTTTTTAATTTCATTTTCAACTTAAACCTCTTTAGTGTTGGCCAAACTTTTCATAAGTTAGCATAAGTTGTCTAAAACATAATTGTGAAGTCAAATCAGAAGAAGACAAAYTGGAAAAAAGAGAAAAGAAAATGGAAAGAAGGGAAAGAAACAAAGAGAATAGATGAATTTGCTATTAATTATGGATAATCAGAAGAAAACATGGAGGAACAGTGGAGAGCTTGTGCTACATGGACGGACAATCACAGCAGGGCGAGAAGTGGAAGACAAGATAAAGGAGAACCAAGTCAGACTCCAGTCTACAATATGGGGAAAAAATTGGAGACCCATCGCCCGACGTTATATGTGCACAAATCTGTTGCAGTTAAACCCTAAGGTATTAGTGTTAAATACACTTTAATATGAGTGGATARTTACAAAAAGCACATTCGTGTTAATTCTGTGTTCTTTGTGGTGGTTTCATGTGAATTGAAGACAATGGATTTTTTGTGCAAAACAAGCTTATTCCAATGGTTTAAGAGTTTAAGTTTAAAATTAAAAGTYGCAAAAAGTAGCTCTCAGACAGTTTCATTTTGTGAAAGTAGCTCTTAAGGAAAACAAGTTTGGAGACCTCTGGCTAGGGCTGCCACAATTAATTGATTAATCGATGACTAATTGATTATTAAAATAATCGATGACTAATTG